ACAACTGTGAGACAGAATCCGAAATGGGAGGTAAGTGGTGGGGGAAATACTAAGGTTGGGATCGGGGCAATGGAATTCTTAGTAAAATCTAGATGCGTGTACTATGATGTTACAAGTAAATTTCTATGTGAGTTTTTGTAGGTCACGAAATTAGTACTTTTCACAACACTAGTTTTAGGGTGACGATTAGTTCTACTCTTATTTCGCTAGGACAGTATTTGTTACCGAATAAACATATCATACAAAGAAAAGTAATATAATGGCAGAAATAAGCAATACGCCTTTACATGAATGGAAAATAAACACAATCATATAATTATCACCATTATACAACCAATATATTTTTTTACAGAAAAAGGGATAATATTTGAATGGAAGTGTTCCGATCAGCCATGTAGGATACACAATTGGATGTTGTATGAATGTTTCCGTATCACCTCTCCCATCAGATAATACATGTAGGACGATGAGGAATATGGAACAATTAATCTATCCAGCCCTCCCTGGCCAAACGTGACAGAGCCATAGATTTGAAACGGTTTTACTTTAGTACACATGCATGTAAGTAGATATTACTTGCTCTATGTCCGAGCTCCGTCGGTTTGGTCACTGAGTTAGGGAGAGATGTTTACAGCAACTGTTCCATGTTCTCAACATCTAACCATGTGCACCAAGCGGCACTTCATACTCCAGGAGAACAAAAACAAATCCCTCTCCTTGAGCTTGTTGTTTTACATTCCTAGTCGATACAAACCATGTTGTAAATTGAATCATCTTGCGTTTGACGTAATCCTAAGCTACAAATAATGACACATTGCTGCGCCAGTCCATTCTGTTGTAACACCATTCGTTGAAATTCGAGAACTTCTTCGCAGTTAATACCTGCATGTTACTGAACACCCCCCCCCCCCCATAAGTACGTGACACCGTACCTTGTCCAACTCATCGAACGCACCGTTACGCACGACGACACACCATTTCCCAATGCGTTATTATCTGTGCCAATTAAGTGTGTAAGGGTAGGTGCATGCGCCAGTAATTCAAGATTCTGTGTGCACTGTCATTTGTTTGTGTGTACGATATCTATCACTGTGCGTCAACGACGGCGGCGCCAAACTCTGACGGAGTCTTACGTCAGCAAATGACACCTCGTATCCAACGGGCTTATGAAACGTATTTGCTGCGACGTTCATAATCTTATGCAGCCTTTAAAGGCTATTGATATCAAAGCATTAAATCTCTCCTCTTTGTATTCCTTATATTCTTAAAAATCAGGGTATTCTACTTAAACTACTTCAGATTGATGTATACTGCTATTTGCTGCTCACAATATACCAATGTGTCGACAGCCATGTCCCACAATGCATCAACAACTACGACGCTGCCTTCAAAGATTATATTATGATCGCAAAATATATAACTAGCTTGTGTTTATTCGATTATCAAACACTGTCTTTCAACACAGCAGTTTTCTTTCTCCTTTTAAAAAAAAATTCCTATACGATCGATCGAAACTGTACAGGTAATCATACAGGAAATGTTTCGCCTAACGAGACCCTCTTGTTTACGTAATTCGAATTAACAACAACTTACACTGCTATGGAGTAGTTTTAATCAGAACCTAAATTGTAAGTAGCCGTACGTAAGAATATATATCCCTGGTTAAAGACATAATAATGAATGTTTGATTCAATATTGTATTTGAATGTTATATTGCTGTAAGTTTTTTTTATTGGATGTGAAATAAACTGAACTTGAACTTGAACTAGTGAGCAGAAAAAGAGAGAATTGAGAAATAACCTTTCATTCATAATACCTATGGTTTCTCATTCTACTATACTTGCACATTTTTTTTCTCTCCAAGAAATTAACATTTACTTCACATAAATATAAATATTGATAGCAAAATCAGTGGTAGCATTATTTACCCTTTTCACTTGTATGCATTAAACGCAATCTTTTCTCACTAACGTTAATGTCAGGTATGCAAGTGTTGCACCAATATGTCAAGAAAATGTGCATTGTGGGTTACTGTTAGAACGTATACATTGCAGCTTAACACAATATTGAAGATTATCCAATTCTATTTCAACATGCCACAAGATTAAATAGCGATTATACTTGGGATGTTAGAGAGTATCCAATATAGGATAGTTTACACCTTGATACACGCTAACCGGCACTGCAAAATTGAATATAATCACAGGCATATTATATGAACTCAGTAGCAACAGATGCTATGTGTGTGTGTGTGTGCAGTGACGGAGACTTTGTACAGCTTGTCATGTTACGCCATATCGGAATTGAGCCTGCATTTTAGAGGTAATTTAATACACAGAGTGTGCGCATAGCGGCATAGATGCTTTTTTCAGGCCCCGGGCCATTCGCTTCGAAAAGGTCACCGCGTCAAGAACGGGGAGTGCAACACCTAGCTTTCGTGTCTACCGGGAGCAGAAGTCGGGGCTCGCCGTGGCATTTGCTTGCATCGTATTATGGCATCGGAGATATGCAGGAATTCGGCAGGAATTATGATTAGAATCATTATTTTCATAAGCACGCTCCCTGCCTCCTTGTAGAGCAAGGCATGGCGTGTGGTTTTGACATAGGTTTCAGCTTTGCCTACTATGTGTCTGTAAAATGTAAAGGATGTCTGATATCACATCATATAGATACAACTGTAGTATCATATTTTCTCTTATAAACTATTCATCTTTGACATGCCGTATCTTATTAAGTATGCACGTTCTTTTGACCTTATATATTTTTACATACGAGGGCACACAAAATAATGAGTGAAATTCCGGTCATAAATATACATGTATAGCTTGGGAAACAATTTTGCTTTACATACACAGAGGGTTCATAAGAGCCCCTTTGTGGAAAGAAAATAGGCCTATGCGAGACTAAGCAATTGCTCTCCAATCTTATTTTCCATGAAAGTCTTTATACATCCATCCACCTTGAGATAAATCCTGTAAGTTATTTTAGATAATAAAATAATTATCATTATTTATATTGTAGCTCGCGAGTATTATCGAAAAGAGAGATGCGAAACTGCCTCTATTAAAATAAGTTGTTTTATGAGATACATTCAACTTAAATCGATCTAGCATTCTAGCTTTGAATTATAATTATCCGATTGAAATGATCACTATCAATTCAACAGGTCGCTTTACATCATAATACGATGCTTATACTAGCAAAGCATTCAAAATACAATGGTCATATGTAGACCTAATCATGTGCTTAATATTAATCCCCTTAAAAACTTCAAGATTATTTACGGACACATGGCAAAATTGGCGCAATTAAAGCCCGGGAATTTCATCATTAACATGCTTTTTTAATTCAATTTTCGGATTATTATATCCTTCAACCGGTTACAAGTTCAACCTATCTTGTACTGTATTCTAAAATCATGTTTACAACGATAAGTAAATTCTTCCAATTTGTCTTTATAGCACACGTGCACGAAAATTTCGGCTCTAAATAACCTATTCCCGATTTCGGCATTGACAGGCTTAATCAAAAGTCGAGATGTCACTGGACTAGCACGACATTTCACTAATTCAACCCGATGGTCGCTGCAGGAAACTGCGCTATAATATTTATAATGACTCTACCGCAGCTGTAAATGAATACTCCATACACATACAAATTAAACAATCTACCTTAAATAGCATTTGCATCAGGATGCATTATGAATAATTTCCTAACATATTACCTGAGGAATATCAATCCCATCAGCTTTTTTCTCCATTCTTTTCTTTAATTGAATCGGATGATCAAAATCATTTGCGCATTATACATGAACAAATGCACTTTTATTATCCTTTTTTAAGCGGATTGGAAGCCAGTCTATACATAGTAGAAAATGATAGAGAAAGAGAGAGAGAGAAAGAGACGGAGAGACTGAGAAAAAGGTACAGAGAAGGGAGAGAGGAATAAAGAGCGCAGAATAAAACAAAATGCGCCAGGCAATTGCAGCTGCTTTCGATAATCCACAGGCATTGCCTTAAAATCCGCAGAGCAAAAAAGTAAGAGATAGAAATAAAACATGAAAATAAGAGCATGAAAGATAGGAGAGTATGGATGGTTGCGTATTTTGGAGAGAAAAAATATAGAGAAGGAGCGAGGGTGCATACATATTCAGTGTGCATACCAAAAGGACCTTCGTGCATATGCTACGTTTCTGTTTAATGGTTGTGTATTCAGCGCTTTGGCGGGAGACACCGTCGAGGCTGATTCAAGACACCACAAAATGAATGGAAAACATACGGATGGAGAGACGAGTGATCACGTGACCAACAAAGATACGAACTGAGTGTGTGGTGTAGGCAACAAAATGATGCTCTATCCATGCCGGTCAGGGAGGTGGCCGTTTTTTAAGGATAACCGATGTCCTCCGATAACGGCACAATTGCTGCAGTGAGCAGCGTGGCTCACCGGTCGCGTGTTAGCTGATGCTGAAATTATGCCGTTAACGGAGGACATCCCTTGTCCTTCAAAAACGGCCGTCTACCGAACTGCATACAGACAACAGTGGCGGATGGAATTACGACTATAAACGTCCACAAATGAAGACCGTTAGTCGATTCACACAGCCATTCTGGGAATCTAGACAATCTCAGGATACAGCCATCAGGTTGTATTTAGGACATACTGACTATTAACGGCCATTCATGTATAACGTTCACATTCTCACGTGTTCAACACATAGACTGACCCTCATTCCTTTCAATACATAACACATACAGTCCATTTTCCATACAGGACTAAACTATACAGCTTTAAATTCACATATTGACCAAGTCATTAAGTTACGCATGTGTCCATGACCGGAGGAAATTAAAATTTCATTCGTTGGTGGGAACTAGAATAGGAGGCACTTGTTGATCAAATTATCGAAATGAAAACCTTTGGTGTAAAATACAGAGGGTGGAAAGGATGGAATTGCAAGACGGTGGTTAGTTTGCTACCATGGTTACAGACAACCTTACCTTCGCCATATCTACTACTGTGCTTGCTTCGTCAGCTAACTTTCGCTGATCCATTTTTGTTTTTCTTAACCTGTAAAAGGAGATGGTGTAATGTGTAAAGTGGGAGGCAACGCATAAAAATGGTTAGTTTGTTATACATCTTACATCTTGCACTCATGGCAGGATCTTACCGCTTGTAACGTCATTTTAAATTATAAAATACCTCCACAACTCTACAACCTTCTGGATTGTATGAGCTTGAGGAATGGGGTAAAAATGGAAGGCTAATTTGGGCCAAAGATGGAACAGCCAAATCGTGTAAGCGATTAAGCTTTCGTAACAGGGACTAATGGGACTCCATACTTTCAGCGAGAAAAAGAAAGAGAGAGAGAGAGAGAGAGAGAGATAGCCACGGACAGGGTGAGAGAGAGAGAGAGAGAAAACGAGAGGCAGAGAGAGAGAGAGAGAGAGAAGTCAAAAGTCTAGGAAATCTTATTTTATTCCAGAGATCAGGAGTGGGGCTCAGAGCTGCGGTTTGAAGAGAAGGAAAACATTCTTGGAAATTAGCCGAACTCTAAAGAAAACTCCTATCCTTATCGAGTTTCACTTTAATGGACGTCTGAGGACAGGCAGAGTGACAGCGGGGAGATAAGATTGAAGAAAAAAAAATTAAGATTTAAAGGAAGCCCACAAATATAGATAGTTACAGAGAGATAGGGAATGGGAGGAAAAAGGGGAGTGAGATGAAAAGAAAAAATGGAGGTATATTAGAGATATTCGCGAGAAAAGGAGCGGAACACTGAGAAAGGAAAACAGAGAGTGATATCCAAAATAAAAAATAGATAAAGAGAGATCAACAAATACAGAAAGAGCGGGAGAAAGATGAAATGCGATTGCACTGACACACAAACACACCACAACTACAAAACTACCAAAAAAGAGAGAGACGAGAGAGAGAGAGAATTGGTCTAGAAGGAGATTATGGAAAGAGAAAAGTAGGGAACAGAAATACAGAGAGAAACAGTATTACACACAATATATATATATATATATATATATATATATATATATATATGAAGCGAGAGGGGAGGTTTAGGGGTAGCGGTAGGGCGAGAGATAGATCAAATCATACGAAGTAAGATGAAGATGAATAGAGGATGGTCATCGCGAAGTACATGCCCTCTAGATATTTTGCCCATTAAGCAGAACCAAACAGAGGACGAACATTTCCCGCGTTATATCTCCTATTGGCAAGGGTGTCGTCTGCATAAATCATGAATTGTTTGTTTGGATGCCGTTAAAAAGGAGCATAATACCAGCGTGCCGTTTGTCCTGTCAAAACCCGGGGACATTTGTTGAATTATTCAGTCATTTACAAGGGGCTTGTTTGTGATTAAAAAAATGAGGGAATAAAAAGGAAAGTACAACAACAAACATTTCTAAAACATGTGAACAAGAAATCAATAACACTGGCTTGGAGGCTGTGTAAAATGTAAAATGAATAAAACCAAGGGTTGACAAAATGACCTCTTTTTGAAATACAACACAACTGTATTAATTTATTTAAATGTATCTAATCTGAAGAACTTTAACGATGTGCGAATTCGTCTTTGTACGTGTAAACGCAATGGTCCGAATTCACGAAGGAGGTTTGTCGACAAACCTAGGTTTATGTGCGTCATATGACGCGTTTCGACGCGTTTCAAACCAAGGTTGTACAAACCTCCTTTGTGTGAATTCGGGCCATTGTGTTCGCCTCTGCTGTTACGCTAACGTCTTGGTCATACATAAAGGTATTTAAAACCCCATCCACTTTTGTTTAGGCATCATCTTGCATCAAATTGTGAGTTCAATGCGATCGATGCATTCACACAAAACAGCATGCTTTACATTATTTGTTGTTATCAATTTCATGTCCCTATTTTTAGATACAACTATTTCAGGTGAGTATACGATCTTGAGGCAGAATAGGATATTAGTATACTATGACATTTGATCCCTACAAATTTTTCAGCTAGAATAAGCAATATAATAGCCAATATTAAACTCTCTGTATAGTAAAAGAAAAAAGGAGGTGGAAGGGCAGTGATGTGCCTAGATCAAGTTTCCCATCAATTTTTTTTATAAGGGTAACATTAAATATACGAGGAACTTAACGACCGAGAACAAACAACAAGTTTTATGTTCTCAGTTTGGTTTTTGAATGATTAACGTTCTCGGCCAGAAGCAGGATTAAGAGCACGTTTCTTTCATATATGGTGAAATATTACAAGGCAATATCTGTCAGGAAAGGAGTTGCCTACAGGTTTTTTTTATTTTCAAGCTGGGGAATATAGTCCCTTTCTTTAGAGATCTTCTCTTCTTGGTGAAAATTGATATTTGTGACACCAATCAATAACACAACACTTTTGAACGAACCTTGCTCTGGCTCAGAAAACAAGCTTGTTCACTAAAATCACTATATAACAACAAAATCATAGTTGTGTTGTTTGTTTGATACGTAGGTATCTAATGAAATAAAACATGTGTCAGATGAGGAATTTTAGCTCCAAACATTGCACCTATAAACCAAGATACACAATATTTCCATAATTTCAACAAGTTTTGCCTCGAACTCCGACATAGCACTGAAAAGAGTAGCCGGGACTACGACCATGACAGCAAGACCGTTACATAGAATCATGGATTTATACTTACTTATGAATCGCATTTAAAAATTTTCTTTGGTGTTTTCTTATTCTTCTTGTGCTTGAGTGTTTGACGAGTTTGGTGTATTTGTAGATCAACCAGGTTTCTCTCAATACATTGGCAGCTGCATTCTTTAACTGTGGATAAATAAAACAGCAGGGAAAGAAAAATCAAAGGTTAATGTCAAAATGACTGACAGCTGACGACCACTTAAACTGCAGTTGTTTTGTCTTTATTCGCGGACCCGCACTTACTTGAAGAATAAAACGATAAAGAAAATCTCCACTGAGTGGTTACCATTGCTTTAGTGGTAGAGCAGTTGTCTCGTAACCAGGAGTTCACGGGTTTGAAACAGAGTTGCTGCAGTAGTGCCCTTTGGTATGAAATTTATCCTCATTACCAAACTAACCCCTCGGAGAGGACAAAAAGCCGCCGGTCCCCTGCTTTCTTACTTAATAGCATAAACATGCCTTCCTAGCAGTCAGGTAAAATAACCAAAACACATGTGATAAAAGAACGACGTAATATTGTTTTTATATTGATATTGACAAAATAAACTCCACATGTATTTCTCGCACAGATGAGAGATGTATTATAATTTGCTGCATATTTCACGAGTTCTACTATTATTTTATCAAGGCCGATGAAGCAAAAACTTTTCTAAGGTCGAAAAAGAGATGAATAAAAAACTTGTTGTGATTGAATCATGCATTTAGATTATCAAATTAAATATTCCCGTTCGGTAATCAAGTTTTGAATTTCGATTTCTTTCTTTTTTTTAACCGCAAGAAAATTTGATGGTTAAATCGAACATCTCAAGCCTGTGTATTTCCAATCGAATAAGGATTTTCAACCTTGTCTCCCTCAGCTAAATACTAATAATGCTTGTCTATCAAAGCAAAATACGTTATCCATTAATCCTTGTTTACAGACACACATTCTAATAAATCATCATGTATTAAATGAGGAATAAAAATCACAAATCGCCTTGGTTTCTCTCTTTAAAGAGATCGCAGTTTTTGTGCCAGAGGTTATGGTAAAACGAACCACACCCGACATGCAATTGCCTTTCTTGTTATTGCTTTATATAAATGTTGCATACAAAATATTTACGGACATGTTATATTCATTACTTTTTTCCGCCTTGTAGTCATCAAGGACTTTCATAATCAATATTACAGTGACTTCTTTCCTGAGGGAAACAGGTATATTTGGTTGAGAACTGAATTGTAAAATCTCTTTTAGCTATTAGTACCATCATATATTTGAATTTTTTTCCAGAAGAAGAGAAGGTAGGCACAAAATATATTTTGCGTTTATTCTCTTTAGATTTCCCCTGTTATTTTGACCATGGCCACGAGAGAATTATCTACGATGTATCTACAGCACAATTTTTTTATTGATTGAATTACCAATAAGGTATACCAACAAAAAACCTAGATATCTTTCAAAAGCTAAGTACCAAGGCAAAGCTTACCTCAACCTCTTTTACACCCAATACCTAGATTTAATGAGATTTCGCCATGAAACCCGACTCGTAAACATCTCAAACAAACGTGCCTAACATCATTAAATGTATTTGTTTTCGTTCTGGCGGGATCTACTTTTCACTCACTCTCTATAACACCCAGCAACGGCTCTCCAAATTACGAAATCAAACACCGAATAGGTATGAGGTATCTCTTTTCGATTGAGTCTTCTAAGTGCAACAATAACCTTATCGTACAGATACCACGGTATTTATTATAAATTCGAATTTACTTCACATACATTGGAGTAATATTTGTTGGTGCTCCCATTATCATTTGCTTTTTAAAATAATTGTGAAAGGGTAATATTCAATTTAACGTAAACAGAAGTGTGCCCAATGAGGAATTCGTTTTACTCAAGAAATTTTGTAAAATGCATATTTGATGATTGAAACTAGAAATCTATAGAATCAATACGATTATTTAGAAAAGGGTTTCTTTCTGATATTCAATCATGATGGCAAGTGCTTAAATAAACATTTACAAAGACGGAAAGTTTAATACCATGTTTTCTTACACTTGTTCATATACATTTTTCAAAAGCTCTATCATGATCATTGTGCAGCCGCTGCCTTTGCTACGATAATTCTACAGAAACATAGCCAGTTGACATTTAAACGATTTCCACATCTTTTTCCAACGATTTCAGATTTCAACAAAAATATATTAGAGAGCACTTAACACAAACGTGAAGTATTTTCTCCCTGGTTTAAAGTTGCCACGATACCGGTATACGTCAAAACGCTGTGGTCTAAAAGCCAAGCCTCACGTTGTATTTTTATCAATATGATAATCTCTTAAGCCTCCTCCTCCTCTCATCGGGAAATTGCCATGGCAACCAGGTAAATCCGTATTTATTCATAGAGAAAGCATTAATTTAAATCCTAAACTATGACGTCATTATGAATGTCGCGGACAGCAGATGAAAAATAACGATCTATATACGTGTATCGAAAGAAATGAATCACTTTCAAAGACCTTCGGAAGAGAGAGAGAGACACACACACAAAGTGGGAAAAGTGAGAGAGAGAGAGATCGAATAAATATCATTATTAATTACATCTTTTGGACAGTATTGAGTACCTCTGTTTGACAGTATACTTTTGAAAACTACACGATCTAGATTTGTATTTGACTCTTCCTTTTATGCTATTGTAGTAGAAATAAAATTAATGCAGAAATACAGTAGAGACAGCGTGTTTGAGTGTGTGTATCTGAGTGAGTGAGTGAGGGAGATGGAGAGAGAGAGAGAGAGAGAGAGGAGGGGGGGGGGGGCAGAGGGCATGGTCATATTATATGTGGGCATCCAAAGAGACATAAATAATCACAAAGCGAACGGAAAGAGTGTATTTGGAGGAAATTAGAAATGAAGAGACAAAGTGGGGGTATACAGATGCAACAAGAAAACAAAACAAAAGTATGGATGTAGAGCGGAAAAAACAGCATGAGTGGTTGAGAGTGAGAGAGAGAGAGAGAGAGAGAGAGAGAGAGAGAGGGGGAGATGAGAGAGAGAGAGGGAGATGAGAGAGGGAAAATACGAGTGATGTAATATGAGATAGTACCCTGTTCATATCAAAGAAGAAATGTAGATGAAAAGGAGGAGGAGAGTGAGAGCGATAACTAAAAAAGGCCTTGCAAATGTTGACAGGATTGCATCATGTTTGATTGAGCTATTCTTATTGCCAATCTACTTGTAAACGAAGTATTTACTGAGCCAATATGAGATAGGACAAGCTTCATTCCAAGTCATCCTGTGTTACACATACAGCGTTCTTAAGCAAACAATGTACGCCGTATATCTTCATGTACACACCACTTTGGAGGTGAGCGAACGGTATTTAGATTGAGATGCGAATTTCACCAGCGATTGCATTTAAGCGCGGAAATTGATTGTAGTTGCAATAAAACTGTACCTAAATACAGGCCACGCGTGTACTTTTTTTTTTTTTTTTTCCTCGTATTGCCTTACATGCCTGGTTAGCTTCTTAAAATGGAAACCTTGCTGGTTATTGTCCTCATTTGGGGCTTTTCTTAAGAAAGAAACCATGCAGAAGGGACTACCTTATCGCCTAAACACAAGATGTAGGGCATATGCATGACTAGCAGTTATTGGTGCTTGTTTACAGGAGTATGATTAAAAAGAGAAGATAATATCAATGGAAAAGAATATCACAAGGGCCTCAGACAGTTGAGACCAACACTTTTGGAAAAGTTCATTATGTTTGCGAAATTTGTCGAAAGCATGCCTGTATATCCAGAAGATTGAAATGTGTGATTTTCTCTAATCTGTCTCCTTTTGGGTCCGTATTGAACTCCCGCCCTCTCCCCCCAGGAAAAAAAAATCGGATATTTTCTCTCTTCCACTCCACCTCTTCCCTGTTCAGCTTTGTAAGAAATGTAATCAAAGTGACACATGTGGTTTAATTATCATTAAGGTAATAATACCTCTTATCAGGGGACATATTCTGCTTAACATCGCCCAATCACCTATATTTTCCCCCTTAAATATTGTCCCAATTTACCCGCGGATGTAGATCAAGCAATGTGTCAAGCAGGAAGTAGTGCCGCGGGGCTAACCTTGCAACGCGGAATGATATCTCTCCCGAGATAGAACGACGTCTTGTAATTTTGTTCGCGTAATTTCCTTCATAGCAATAACCGTCCTTTAAGATTAGCCATGATCAAATAATATTGTGACGTTTACCTCTCGGCGAATGTTCCTTAAAAGATATGAAATTAGAAGTGATTTGCCTAGAGCAGTAATGACGACTTCAGCACTGGAACGAGGACAGACCGTTTATATGTGTTTATGAATCATCTTTTTTAGTAGCAGAATGTATGTCTAGATTATTATTTGCTTGATCTCCTGTGGCCAAATTTTGATTTCGACCGGTGTCCTCATTTCACTAGCCTCAAACCTGGAATGGCTTGTTTAATATACAACTCTTCATATTGATTCCAAAGCTAGTTACAAAATATGTAATAATTGTGTTACGGTAGACATTTAACGAAACAAACACATTTAATATCTCATTATGAATGTATAATCATATTTTATGGAGAAATTTGAGGTAAACATATTTCTGTGTAAAAATTACAGCCATGTAGTATATAGATTTATTTAATTATTGTGCATATACAACAAATGTTTACTGTGTTTGCCAAAAAAGAGACATTTCAATGACTTATTATAACTTACGAATGGGGATAATAACCCAAATCGGCCAATGTGTGTATGATAATCTCCCTTAGAGAGTCTATGCATTTCCTTTGGTTTACACATTATTGGTGCCATACACATTTCAATTGGTTAACACAATTGGTACCATACAAATGCTGTCCTTTTAGGTGTGGTGAGAAGAGAATTTTTTTCCCTATTAACACTAATCGGCAAGTTACTTATGCGACGTAGAGAAAAATGACTTGAATTTGAAATACATTTGTAGAAGGACCATTTTTGATAAATGAAAGGCATGTTCGGTAAGCGATCCCACTAGTGATTTTACTAGATACGACGTGTCTTGAATACTTACTCGTTTTGTAAGTTGATTATCCATCATGAAATTATGGACGTGTTTTTCTGCTCTGCTCAGCTCTAACTTGGTCGCCAAGACTGCTACAACAAGAGCCGTGCAACCCGCTCCCTGGTTTGAGATAGGACAAGAAAATCAAATAGTCTTGAATTAGTCATCATCTAGAAATACTTATAGGGAAATGATGTAAAACACTTACTGAATATATAGATATAATTTGAGAAAAGAAATGAAAGAAAGATGTTACTTGTTGACGCCTTTGACTTTACCTCACCGGCATGCTGCATTCCTTTCATTCAATCGCTATGTGATTCTGACTTCTTCTTTAAATATGAGAGAGAGAGAGAGAGAGAGAGAGAGAGAGAGAGGTGAATGTATGGACAGGAAGAGGAGAAAGAACCTATAGGACAGTTGCAAGAAAGAAAGAAAGAATAGAACAGGATGAAAATCAGAAATTTCTGGAGAGAAGAAAGATGATCCGATGAATGACAAGGGGAAAAGGGGTTGACTGAGAGATGGATACGAACATAGGAAGAGAGGAAGAAGAAAAACACTAGAAGTTGAGGAGAAGAGTGAAGTAATGAATGAGAGGGACAGAGAGAGAGAGAGAGAGAGTGATCAGGGAGTACACTTTCTTGGTGGTAAACATCTAATTCGAACAACCTGTTAATGCCATAACCCTGTAATTGATCATTCAAATTTCACACCATCAATCTTGTGCTCGACTGGAAAAGTGACTTGGGAATACCAAGCATTAGAATCACTATGTTGTTCGATCACGGGGTGATCCCGATGAGCTTTCTTTCCACATTCCAATATTTACCGTACATTAACAGGTTTGTATACATTTTTGTTTGTTAATGTATAAACCGTTAAAGGGACATGATCTTATATAAATAACGTGGTAATTTACAATATATCTTACTATATCTTTAGCCCCTTCCCGTTCCTTAACAAAAAAAATTCTGATGAATAATCATACAGCTACTCCTATTCTAATGAGTTATCTTTAAAAAACACTTATATTCTAATCATATTACAACTACTTCGTATGATGTAAGTATAAATTTCAATTTTGATTCACTAGTTGATTTCGTTTCATAATCCTAATAAATGTGGAAAAGGAACAAATTCTAGCTATTCGACCTATATTTAAAACAGAAAGGAAATTGAAAAGTAATTATCTATATCATGTTGTATATGTAAGCAGGGCGTATTAAAATGATATTACATTCCAGTAGCTCACTCCTGAGATGTAAAGTTTGTGTTACACTTGAGTAATTATTTCCACAGAAGCAAATACAATCAATCAGACTCGGTACAATCATTGATTTCTGTCATTTTCATCAATTTTCTTCCCAGTTGACCTTCTCATATCGTTGAGTAATTGCGAGAAGACGAGCCGGGCCCAGATGAAAAGGAAAAAAAGTCTCATGGAAGTATCATAATCATACATATAAACATGTGGCATCACATTGCTGAGAACTAGATATAGAAGGCTGTGTCCGTAAGGAAACAATTTTGTTTTAAATTCATATATTTCAAATGTTATTGTATAATGCGCAAAAACAGGTTAGAATTACATCTTCCCCATGTACTTACGATATATATGTTTTCATTTTTATTACGATTATTTGTGATTTCTACATTTTTGAAGAAGGAAATACTTTGAAGTAGGCCTATACTCTCAAATAATTCATTTAGTCATTTCATTATTCATTTATCTATTCATTCATATCTACAAATTTACTTATATGTCATTTTTTATTTTATATATCTTTTGTTTTATTTACCTATTTACTCTTTGTAAAGATATAAGTCTGTTAACTGGCAATAATGACAGATCGACTGATGTAGACACCTGACATAAACTTCTGCTGGTGGGACTTACCATTATACCAGTGATGACGGCCACCCCTCTCCCGCAGTAAGTATTGGGTACCATATCACCGTAGCCTATGGATAGGAATGTAATGGATACGATCCACATGGCGTTGAGGATCTCACTGTTGTCTTTGTCATGATATCTGGACAAAAAGAAGGAAGATACATGAAAATAGCCTTTAAGAGTTATTACATAATCTTGAGATGGTGGCAGAGAGAGAGAGAGAGAAAGAAAGAAGAAAGGGATCGTAAAAAAGAAAAGATAAAAGGAGTCCTCCCAAACTAATCGCTAAGCTATGGCAATCATAATTCATACTTCTTTTACGTTGTGAGACCGTCCGGCTTTAAAACGAAGTGTCTCCTAAAGTTTCAAGCATAATCTTTACAGATTTGAGGCAATTATTCTTTGTTTGACGTCACGCCTTCCCCCTACCCCTCACCCACCCTCCCCCATACATTCATAACCCCCTAGTTCTAAGCTTTGTCTAACTCCTAAGCCCTCTAACCTGCGCAAACCCTTCTCAACCGACCCTATGCTATCATGTACAATATATAGACAGTCGAGGGATGAAAAATGCTGAACAAGGTTTGCCATGCCCCTCATGTAGATTTCCGACGCACCACTGTAGTATCGATAGCGTATTCCTATCGTCTGCAAGGGCGAAGTATGTTGGACCATGTCTTGAACATAAATCCTTATTTTCTTTGCTGTTTCACATAATTACCAATTCCCTACTATAGATTTTCCAGTCCCAAACCAATGAAAGAGAAGACTGGATATATACTTGTAGCAAGATCTTGCACCTGTTTTTACACATCGATATTTCGCCATGATGAGACAAGATTTTCATGTCTTAACTGTGGTTCTTGCAGTGGAAGCGCAGGCGAGGTGAACACACGGAAAGGAGAAGAAAAAAAGAGAGATAAAAATCGATTGAACTCGCTACACGACCACCCACTGATTATTCGGAGCCGCCATGCAGGATGGACGCGTTAATTACGTGTCGAAACGGTCCGCGCCATACGTCGTGCATTTCGTTCCGTGCGATCAACGGTAGATATTAAGCTACTGAACAGGTACACAGAGCAGTTCAAATTGTCCGCTATTTTGTGTGTACGGAGAATAATGCGGAGGTGTATTGTTTTTAAACTCACTTTTATCATAACAATGCCGGGGTTGATTTGCAATGCAGGAAAACACAAAACAAATTGATTTCAAACAGAAAATGTCACCAGCTTTCTATGAAACAATACAGTTCTCATTGTGATATCATTATCCTAAAACACTTCTACATGATTCTTATCTGCGTTGTGATGATACCCTAATCTTTTTGATAGAACAAAACGCACCTAAGCTCAAATTATCAAGCTGTTGTAATCTTTATTACAATAAAAGCAAAAATGAGGCAGAATCTGAAGGGGGGGGGGGGGGGGACATGTCTTATATCAAACATCATATTAGATGTTACTTTGTGTCTATCACCCCGGAGATTCAAACACGTTAAAAGTCTTGCGACCCCCAAAAGGGCTCTTACCATCTAGACAAATTATAAAAAAATCACCTTCGCAGAACAGTTTTCGAAGAAATGAAGAGGGCTGGATTACAATTTGTGTCGTATTTCTCCTTCCACAAATATAAGATCAGTGGTTGTCACAGAAATAATCACGCAAGGGATTTCTGTACCATCTTTGATTCTGTCTGATCTAAAGTCATCGTTATTTAATAACGTTAAATCTGAGATGCATGCTCCCATGTGTTATCAGTGTCTGCATGTGATATGGTGTCATATTGAAGCCCTACAAAAAATGCGCTTCAAAATGATCAAGAAGTGCCTCAAAAAAGTAAAAATCTTTGAGTGACCGGTTTTACCATACTCATTTCCCCCAATGGACTGTAGTGTAATAAAAACCGTTAGGAAAGCGGACAATATATTTCGATTTACAATCATAAATATCTTGATAATCAAACAGGCGATCGGCTTGTATAAGTCATGGGGTTCCTGACTGACTTAAATGTTTATAATTATAATTGCAGCATGAGCTAAATCCAGGATTTTGTTTCAGAATCTGAGACAATGTTACCGAGTCACTTTAATATGCAGAGCAATAATCTGGATTTCCTGGCAGCCTTAGTGAGGAGAGACGAGGAAGCTTTGAGGACATTTTCCGTCGATATTATAAAGCAAACCCGTTTTAATCATTGATGTCAATGATTTGATGATAGGCAAGTGGTGTAAAGACCTTTTTATCAACATCAACAACAACCTTTTTAGGAGTTATCTTAGCCAGGCAGTAGAAGAACAAGAGTGTTGGGTATTGACATACCTTGTTGTTGTTATTCATCGAATATTGAGGCCGATGTCGTCGACAAATATTTCATCCTTTTCGAATCTTTATTTGCGCAAAATCTAATACATTTAATCTCTTTTACCGCTATGGACTTTCCTCAGATCCCTTAATCCTGTGTATAGCATAAGGGGGGGGGGGGGAGACATGAAGAACTAAGTGCCCCTTTTTGAATAATCGGCAATAAACTTACTTAGTCGACGGAAAGAAGTCATAAGTATCTCGTTCAACAAGTTTTATTTTAACCTTTCTTTGCCTTTTGACTTTTCTCAAACCTTTTTTTATTCTAACGAAAATAAAAACACAGCCAAGAGATGACGTACAAACTAAAGAATTCTTTTTTTCTTCTCAAAACTGTCCTCTGTTATTCCATTCCTACTTAATTAAACTATAAGGTAAAACATTCGATCCGTGTCTCTAAACATGTGTTAAGAGCGATGCATTCGTTGAGGAGCACTCTAGTTTAAGGATGGATTAGTGCATACTGTCTTATACCAAGTGCTTAATAAATACTGAAAGTTAATGTACAATATTGTTATGTTCAAAGGGAAAGAAACAGAGAAACTGTACATAATGGAGGGTTGGCAACCCATTCAAAGTAGCTGATAAACATAACCTTCTTGGTAAATAGCTGTATGAAAACATCTGGGGGAAGAAATTGACCTGAAAAAGGGCGGGCATTTCCAGATAAATTGTATTTGCATTGATCCATCTGCAGGCTGTGAGAAAATGATGGGCGATGGTGGGAGGGGGAGGGTAGAGGGGTTCATTCGGTGTCCCGATGATAATGTATCAAACCATTTTAGTTATTAAGTTCAATGATAAGAAATTAGGATTATATGATGCAGTTTATATGGGGTACGGCTGAGTCAATATGCCTTAAAACCGAAAGAATGGCACACATATACACAGGGAGAGTAAAAACATACTTTCGCAGTCTTTCCTTTTTCTCTCCTCTTTTCCCCGAATGCGTATAACTGGCTGTTAGTTGCAACAAGTGCGTAATAGCACATGTAACAGGGTATCTCGTTCCCAAACATGGACGCTATTCGGACGTCAGTGACGCATTTCGGGCAGTGGATTTAACGGGAAAATAAAATAAAATAGGCCCACAGTGATCTGGAGTGAGTAAGGTCACTGGCAACATGTAAATAAGACGAGACCATTTCGGCTTAATCACGGCTGCCCGGGTGGTGTGTCATTTTTGCCAATTATAGAGGAGGCATGGCCAACGTCAAAGGAAAATTTTTGAGAGTGTATATGACGCAGACATTCGGTATGGGAATTGCATAACAATACAAACTAAAAACAGAAGAAAAATCAAACATCGGGTGAAGCATTTCTCAGGAATAATGTTTCTGGATGGATGCAATAATATACTCCGTGTATTTCGAAATCTAAATAAATTTCAAAAAGGGCGAAATCCAATTAAAAACAGTGAGCAATAAATATTTAGCTAAAACATCTCACTTTTAAATCACTTAAAATATTCATAATTGCATTATTTCAACAACACTATTTCCAGTTGAAAAAAAATAATGCATTATAACTGAAAAAAGGTCTTTAGCACCACACCCAGCCCTCCCAGGAAGGAAGTTGAATCCAATATAATGAATGAATAAATAACCAACTAAATACATGGTAATTAACACATAAATAATAAATGATGTATTGTTTAAATGAAAATGTATCAATGAGCAAAGTGCGACATTTGTTTCTTTTCTTCTTTTTTTTTTGGGGGGGGGGGGAGGGGGAAAGAACAAGTCTTGGTTTGCCCTGTAAGACAAAATAATAGAACACATCGACAACACGTCACTCCAGCGCATCACGCATAAATCGATGCATAAGACCACCAAATATAGACGCCTAGCGTGCAACAGTGAGTAGAGAGAGAGAAAGGAACAGTTTCCTTGAAATATCGTAAATATGCAGAATGAGATTTGGGATTTATATGAAGCCCCACGTAGTCTCAGCTGCGTTATGGAAATGAGATGCAGGGACTCGAAGGGAAAGCCTTAAAGAGAAGGTAGAGTTCTGATAAGGGTGGACGTTTTTAAAAAGTGCTTCTTATTCTTAAAATATCACATATTATAAGTATTTTTGGCACCTTTCACACACGTGCATGATCCAACTGGCGAGGATTAAAAAGTGATGGTTATTTTTTCGAACCTAGATTAAAAATGAGGCCCCTCTCTGTAAAGAGTCCAAGGGTGGAGGGGTAAAATTTGCCGCAAGTGTGGGTTGGGGGGGGGGGTGTACCGTTTGGGAGGGGGCAATGTTTGGTTTGTTTTACCTTTCACACACGTGCATGATCCAACTGGCGAGGATCCAAAGGGTGATGGTTACGACAAGGAGTACTGTGCCCGGACATATCGTCATGAGGGTTTTCATGACGAATCGCGTGTTGAAGTTGATTCGGTTGAGGGCGCCAATACTACGCGATGAGGCGTCGGTGAATAGCTTACTGTGTAATAACATAACTCTGTGGATGAAAATAAAGAAGTAAACATGTACAAGTGTATGCCAATTGCCAATTATCATAATGAAAAGAGGAAGATATGAAGAAACAGAATATTTGATGAAGTATCGACCACACCCGTTGAAAGAAGAACGCGGAAAATGTGTAAGTTTGACGTTAAGGTAGCCCATAAGACGTAGCCGTACATTATTCAAGTGAAAAGCCGTATACACTCTTTGCTAACTTAAATAAACAACTTAACAATATTTTGCATTTAAAAATAAATAAATATAGAAGCTCCTATATTAGACATGATAACTCGAAATAGCTTTGAAATTATCTCGTGATTCATCAAAGAGATTATTTTCTACATTTAAATTAGATAGAGGACTTAAAGGACTTTTTCCTTACCACCAAATGAGATAGAGTTATGCAGTAATGTAATGGATATAGGGAGGAAAAGGATTCATATGAATGAATGCGGATTTTCAGGACTATGAAACTTTATTATTTACTTGCAAATTTGATAGTGGATAAAGGGACTTAAAATGACCATTTCGCGGACTTTCTCATTTACCTGCAAATTAGATAGAGGCGTAAAAACATGGGTATGGATAGGAAAATATCGACGTCGGCTTCTGCCTCGCGTTCTTCGTGCGTGAAGGCCCATTGCGTGACCCATCGGAAGGTATAGTGGCCGGGGATGGGGTGGACTGCGCAGATGACCAGCTCCGCTGTGATGAGGGCGCACCGCGACCATGTCATGGCGATCCGCCATTCGTCTGCACAGTTATCTACCAGGAAAAGCTGCAAGACGAGACAAAAACGAAGAAAAGGTAAATCGATTAAAAAGATTAACAAGAATAGGATAACGATGCATAATGGAAATAAATCATTTATTATAATAGGGAAAGATTGATACCGATAGGAAATTTGTTATAATGATGATCATGACAAAAATGTGGATCCATACAATTCTCTAAGAGCTTTGCACTATGTCGGCACCCTCTTCCATTGAAAATGAAGTGGAGATGAAGGAAACAAAATTACCAACCAAACAAACAAAGAAATACAATTTTTTGTTTTAGTCGAAAATTAAGTGAGAGTATGCACTTCAACTTCCATTTCATATTTCTCAAAGTTATCATAATTATTCGAATTAAACAAACTATTGAAAAACATATTCTTCAACCAACCATTTATTTGTATATCACGATAAAATCCATCGCAATAAATTCCCGACATGAATTATGATTACATTTCTTAATTACTTAATCTTGGTATCTGATAATAAATGATGTATTTATTTATTATTTATCTATGTTAGTACCACACACATAGACAGTCATATCGTGATTTATAGTGTTGCAGTCAGTAGGAGATTGTGTCAGGTACTATTTTGACATCATCAGAAACGCAATCCAATTTAGATTTTCTTTCACCAGTGTTCAAACATCTTCTTATTAGATTCTCAGCAGGGAAAAAGTTCACGCTTTCCTGCTAATTTCACAGTATAATATCAATTATAACGTTATTTTTACATTTTTGTCATAATATCAGCCAATTACCTTCTGTGGCCTAACTATACATGCACACAAGGCCACAATGGGGTTGTTATGTAATAAATTGTAAAATAACTTCTATCGGGAAGATTCTATATTTATGTAACAAGTTATGATGCTTGATAGCTAATTTTCTTCCTCTCTGCGTCTCTCTATAACGTTCTCTCTCTAATGTTTTAACTCTCTCTCTCAGTCTCTCTCTCTCTCTCTCTTTCAATCTAACTCATTTATCTCCTCTTGTTTTATCCGTCCTCTGTCTTGCTTGCTGTCTCTTTCCTTTCTCGTAATCATCTCTCTCTCTCCCTCTTTCTTTCTATCTATCTCTATCCCTATCCCTCTCGCCCATCGCCCCTCTCCGTCTGTATAATTGCCTGTCTGTCTCCCTATCTCTCTAATTCTTTATCCCTCTCCATGCTGTCTATGTCTCCTTCTCTATGTATCTCCCCCCTCTCTCTCTCTCTCTCTCTCTCTCTCTCTCTCTCTCCCTCTCTCTCCCTCTCTCTTAATTGATACAGTGATTATAGGAGCTGATATTAATGTCAACATGACTCGACAACAAGATGAATGTCAGTCATTATAGCTTGTCCATGAATTTTAAGCGTCATAATTATCATCCTCACGGGGGCATCGGCTGTCGCCCAGGACACTCACTTTCTTTCTATATATTATTATGAATTATACACCTCGGGATACCTATGGTATAACCTTGCTGCTATAACAGATAAAAATTGCAGAGGCGTAGCCAGTGGGGTATAGCAGGGCAAGCGCCCCTCCCCAAGCAAATGACCCCACCCCCAACAAAAAGAGAGATTTAGCGGTAGAAATAGAGAGGGGAGATGCCCTATCACCCCTACCCCAATAAATGGCCTTGTTAATTTGCAGTCATCCAACAAATAACACCAGAGCCCCCTCCAAAGTGCCCTATATCGGAACTTGAGCTACGCCACACCCCAACAAGCATGTTGTTTCGTGTTCCTCGTTCCATATGAACCTTTTCAATCTCGTCAGGATCCATGTCTCAAAGCGCAAAATTAATATTTAGACCCTTTACGCATTGAGATACAATCCTCTTTCTGCAGGTAGTTTTACGGATCTTGAATAAACAAATGACTCTGCCCTAACCATCTTAACCACATGCATGTTGCCCGCAGGTAGGCATATTTATTTTAGTCGCGTAGCTCTGTTCTATTCATCTAAACATACATATCTATATTCAGAGTCTATATGACCCAGAACATCATACCCAGCTCTTTTTTTGCGAGCTTAACGCGAAGCCAAGGGTAAAACAAAATATCGCTACTGAGTGTTCAAATGATTCCAGAGTCAAAACATATATTTCATGTCTATCCTATACAAATCAAACAAAGTTTACGGTTTCTTCACGTTAGATCTACAATTTCTAATTGGAGAAGGTCACACGAACAATTAAGCAAACCGCCAAATATTGAAATGTTCTTGTATTTTCATAAAGTCAACAGTTATCGAAACCAAGTGATACCGAGTCTTGTCAAGTTTTGACACACCATGAGTTCTGGCATCAATATTCCATCTGAATCCCCAAGACACAATATATAACCCTTCTATCTGTGCTACTGGGAAGAACGACGTCCCTCTTAGTTTCTTTTTCAGGTCAGTGTAATTTCGGATCAGAATAATATTGAAAATGCCCAAACGGCAGGCATATCGAATAAGGACGCCCCGCGGCATCCGTTGTCAAGGATACCGTGACGCGATACTGCCAATGCTCCATCTCCGGTGACTCTTCATTCTTAATAGGACAAAATAAGAAATATAAAAGTTGGACAAAGGGGGGGGGGGGGGAGGGGATTGGACAGGGAGATTACGGGTGCTTTACAAAGACATATCACTACCCCTGGACTCCCATGCACGTGGGACTACTAACCCCCGGACACCCATGAACATCCCCACCCATGCAAAGTATCTGTACTAGTCCAGGGGCGCGGAGTGTGTGCGTGTGTGTGTGTGTGTGTGTGTGTGTGTGTGCGGGGGGGGGGGGGTTGGTCATCTAGATACGCCTTTAACTACACGATGCACCTCTGGATATCTTTACAGAAATAAATTAGGGTGTATACTTTCATTTTACTTATAGGTGGATCCATAATTGTTTAGAAGGGGTGGGGTTTTCCCTGAATAACGATTCATATAAATAATTCAATGAAAATTGTTTTCAAAAATTTATTCTCAAAATACCATGAGAGTAATAAGATTATAGTGAAGGTCTAAATATGTTCGTTAATATACACGATGACGTCAAAACATACCGATTGCAACCTATACTGCTTCAAGAGAGGAGATAGTTATGCTTATCTAATTTTAGTGAGATTTTATTTTTTCGAATTATTGACAGGTGTAAAAATAGCGAAGATAATTTGCATTTATTTTCGAAAACGAAGCTGGAGAGAAATGGACGAATACGTCCACAGGGTGATTGATATACTAGTCCATGAAAAGGCACTGAAATAATCGATCTGTTTAATTTGTTAGATTGTGCTTTACAATTCATCTTGCTATATACGCTTTTTTATTGTGGCGTCCAGCAAAAAATCGGAACCTTTGAGGGATTGGCGAAGGAGGCCGATATTCTTGGACACACAAACAAACCAAAAAACAGCAGTGGAAAAAAAAGAACACTACTTATTGAATCATATTCAGCCGAAATCCAATAGAGCATAAGGCGTCTCTTCGCCATGCTAAGTGCACGGAAATTGTAATGATTTTAAAACAAAAATGGGCACCGGTCATCGCCATGAAAAAGAAAACAACTACTCAGAGCATTTTTTTTCATGGTTCAGGAGAGAGAAGCATGCTCCATTGTTCAAGGGAAAAGAGGGTTTACATCGGGAAGGGTGGGGATGGGGCGTCTATCTGATGTTCTTGGGGGGGGGGGAAGGTGGCGACCCTAAGTATCCCCCTTTCCCGGTTTTACCACCCGAGGTCTATATGTTGGCGTCTGAACTACTTTAGACGGTCGTTATCTAGGCGATTTCTCCTCTGTTTTCTCGGTTATCGATTTTGTTCATCTAGGTGATTGAGATAGCGATACAGTTAGCTGTTGTGATAGTGCTCTCGTGGCAGTAGCTTCAAGTGACATGGACATAAACATAGACATAGAAACAGGAACATTATTAGGGATTGTTTCTAAGCTGAGACAAAAAAGAGATTTTCGACAACGAGATGATAGGGACACTACAATTCTATTAACCCCCTCCCCGAAAACAACATCAACATCCAAATAATTATGTACGGAAGGGTTATAATGACAATCAAATAGAATCCACATTATAATGTCAGAAAAAATGTTGTGGAATGTTAGGGGATGTATGATTATTTTGAGAGTGAAGTAGGATAAAAAAAAAAGAGAGATAATAAACAGTAAAACGAGTTAAACTGAGGTATTTCGAATGGAATACTTGATTGCAATGGAATCGTCTATTGCATAATACATTTCTATGGAATGCAAGGTACGTACTACAGTTGGTGGGGAAGGATACTTAGAACGAACTTGACACAACTTGGCGACCCATTTTCCTCATGCACCCAGGTTGAACTACATCCCAAGTGGGAGAGAGGAAGAGCCCCCCCCCCCTCCCCACCTCCAACGAAGCTTTATTAGATTATTGTGGGAACATGAACCTTCGACCGACCTTCCGCTTTTCGATTTCACATTCGCGCTGAAAACTAGAGCGCTCGATAATGTGTTCCCATGGAAGAGAGTGAGAGAGAGATGGGAGAGAGAGTAAAAAGGGAGAGAGAGAGAGAGAGAGAGAGAGAGAGATGGGAGAGAGAGTAAAAAGGGAGAGAGAGAGAGAGAAGAGAGGGGGAGAGAGCGAGAGAGAGAGAGAGAGAGAGGGGAGAGAGAGAGAGAGGGAGAGAGAGTCCGATCAACGTTACACAAAGTCTCTGACAAACAGTGGAGTATTTGTATGTAAGAAAGCAAATATGTGCCTGCCATTCGTGTGCTACCATTTAATAGAACACAAAAACACATACGGTATGCCAAATGAAACAAGTGAAAGGAATCGAGAACAAAAAAGAGAAAATCTGATCAGAGAAATTATTACGTAATGTTCCGTTCGGATTTTTGTCGGTTTTAATGACAACTTCCTCAGAAATACTAACTTCAACGCTGACCCAAATATTACGCTACCCTAAACATATCGTAAAATCCGATTGTAACTCGTGCCGTTTGTTGCGGCACGAACATTGCCCACACCGTATGTAGGTATGTCGGCCCACATACACGCTGACTGGCGCCGTCGAAACATCTCCGTATCACCTACAACATACATCATGTCACGTATATGGTGCAATGCATTGGAAACCGAGCTCCGAAAGCACTTAAGCTATTGGTATTAGTCCCACCCCTCAAAAAAATCGTATTATGACCTAACAGTGTGCTTTTTTACAGATAGGTTTTACACTTAGGGTTTTACACAGAGAAACATCTCCTAAAGTGGGTGTCTATACAGATAAACAGAGGATTTGGAGGGGCACCCCCTTCGAACTTTGTGTAAACCATTTAGGTTGTGTCAATATTCGTCCTGAACCGCACCCGAATAGACGAGGACCCAAGATTTAAAGTCAATGGAACGATTTTTCAAATATGTAGTCATGTGTGATTGTGACTCTGTGTGACACCCTCTTTGAAGTTTCTGTTATGCGACTATTGTCGGCGAATTTGGAACCATAAGTGTGAAATTGCCGGGGAAAGTTCATACTGAGTCGCCCTCGCGCCCCCGTTACTGAGCTTATGTGACACAACTGGAATTACATGCCAATGGAACGATTCTGTTTATTATTCTATGTGTGTATGTGTGTGCGACTGTGAGTCTGGCTTCTATTTTTGCAGCATTGTGATAGCGGAATGTGGATGCCGTGAAACAGATCACAAAACTCTAATTACAGAACTTCAACAAATGTAAGGGGTACATGGCACCAATAGATCGTCTGTTCAAGTCCAGGTTCCTTTTTTGAAAACATGAGCCAGTTTTTAATAAGTTCTGCGACGCCCTTCGTTTTTGTATAAGTCACTTGAAAAATATTGCATACTTGTGTGTACATTGATGTGTGCGTGTTCATGTGGGTGTGCGTGTCCGTGCGGGTGTGCGATTGTGTAACTTCAGAAAATATGAAAGAAAAATGGCGCCACGTGGAACACATTTTTTCTCAAAGCTTTTCACGGCTCCCGCGAAAATACATCCAAAGTGTAATACACTGGAAATTTTATGTAATTATCAAAAAAGCAAACAATGAGCGAAAAGTTTCTTTGAAAGAAGAGGAAAATACATGACATGTTCGGGAATTCGGGAATATGATTGACTGGCAGTACATATATTTTCGCCAAGAAATTGCAAATATTCCATTGTTGGTTGAACATAATATATGCAAGTTACACGACCGCAACTATTTTCGAAAAAATTATGTTATACGTCATCGTCATGCTTGTACATTTCAATGAATGACGCACAAGACTTTTGAAATTGTCTTTTGATTTTGATTTTCCGAGAAAAAAACTACCATCGTGTTATTCCTAAAATGATATAAGAATATGAAACATAAATCAACAACTTTAAACACAAACAAATCACAAAAATAATCGCCAGAGAGAGATAGAGAAAAGAAAGCGTAGTCAAAAATGGATCAAATCGACACTTCATGGCCATTCCGCCGTTTTCCATACACTATTCCCTCGCCATCTAATTATTGAGCTTGCAGTTGTAAGGAAATGTCAAATAACAATATATGGGACGGCTATGTCCTTAGATAGTGTCAAAGATAACAATGAATGGACGAGGCAGATGGGAAAACGGTGAAAAAAAAGACTTCGTGCGATTTTTTTTTCGTTTAATAATAGCAGAGGAGGTGTGATGAAATATCGACCCATGGACACTATTTCTCACTGCCCATGCAAATTTTACACATTTGAACCACGGCTTGTATGTATATACCAGTGTATAACACATGTCTAAAGATTTGCCCGTGCATCACAATGGTTTCTACTTTTTGTGGTTTATCTTTAGGAGTATTTGATATAAGTGAGTACTAAATCTCTCAAAAGACATCTCTTGAGAGTAACTATATGTAATTTCAAAGACAAAACTAATTTCTAGATTCGAAGAAAGAAAAACCGATGAATCACAAGAAAAGAACCCCGTGTATACAGTATATTTTTATTTAGATATATACCGTTTTGCTATAGTTGGATAAAGAACATGCATAAACTGTTCAGGACGAAACTAATTTAACAAGACAAAATAGGAATTGTATGTCACTCAAATATAACTCTTTTAAAACTAAGTATCTGTCCTTTACTCAAGGAGAATTAAAAAAAAAATGAAAATATGATTTGTATCCCAATTATAAACAAGCAACATGCCTTATCCCTTTGGTATACTTTTGCACCTGTCATGCCAATTATTTGACTTTTACTATTCAAACGAGTGGGCAATTTCAGAAACCTTATCATCTGAATTGATTTACAGATAAGAATATCACTTTTATGATCGTAGTAACCTTTCCCGACCTTCTTGAATGTTATTCCAATTTAAAAATAAATGTATTAATACAATAAGAGCATGGTATCTATTTTAAACCCGTGTGACATTTTCCGACATTGCGAACCATTTTAGAACGAGTCGTTGAAGTGTTTCAAAATGCCTTGTTTTCCCTGATGATAGCAGTTCTAAATACGTGGGATGCATTAATTTATAGTTGCAATTTTGCAGCGGCGTAGCCATGCTTGTTAACGTCAGGTGGGGGCGGGTGATGGTGGGGGCGTGCACACAAAAAGGGGTAAATAGACGTAAGAATTCTTGTCAATGGAAGCAGCTCACCGTGTCTACAAACTTTTCCGACACATTTCAGGGATGCTTAATTGCCATGTCACGGACAGCGGATATTCTATACTACGTTGTTATATTTTACTTATTTCTATTTTCAACATCCCTTTTCCCTTTCCTTTTTCTTAAAACCATCTCTTTTCCTTTCCAAACACTTCTTTTCACGGATTTTCCTGCAAAATATACCAAACTCATATCCTATGATGTACATGATGGAAATACAATAAACCACCGTCCACAGTCTACGCGTACAATAATAGCATGACGATAGGTAACGGTGTAATCTAACCACGAATGAATATACAATCTCCATGTATTGCTTTGCCGAGCATTGTCTTATTTTGTTTTCCAGCTGCAATTCATCACTGCCTCAAACCCATCTCACTTGGGAGTGGATTTTTTGCCATCTTATGATCTCCTCAATCAATTTGTAAAACAAAATAATAAAAAATGGTGGGATAGTCGGTGCCATCTGCCGGGTAGTCTCTGGCGTTCGTCGACCTCGCCAAATAGAACACAGGTAGATTGAGATGTAAAGATATATTTAGGGAGAGAGGGAGATATAGTACAGAGATTGTGTGGGATAACCGACAAGAGATGGAAAGGAGAGAAAGAAGTGTGGTGTTCGTGTAAATGGGAATATAGAGAGATAACGATAGAAAAGTGTGTGCAATGATTGGAGATCTCGCTATCAGAGGGGGTATTCAGCGTTTTGTAAGGATGATGGGGGTAGCGTTAGTAGGCCCCGTTATCAAGGGTTGGGGGGAAGGGGCGTTTTAGGTCGCCCTCCTCGTTTCAAACTAGGGTGACGTCCCTCAATTTTCCAAACCTATCTACTTCGTATTAGACTTTAATAACTCTTTATATTGATATATTATGCAGAGGAATGAATAAACAATCAACCGTACACCATCTTCGTGCCATAATAGTATTTCAAAATATTTATAATCTCGGCCAATTGTTTCTTTCTTCCTTCCTTCCTTCCTCATTTCGTTACAACCCCCCCCCTCTCTCTCTCTCTCTCTCTCTCTCTCTCTCTCTGCCTGTCTATTTCTCTATATCTTTCCCCTTCTCACCTCTCTCCCTCCTGTGTTGGCCATTCTGAGTACACCCTCTCTCTTTCTTTTTCTTTTCCCATCTCCTTCTCTTCCTCTTCCTCGTACCTTCTCCCATTCCACCAATCTCCATCTTTATCCTTTGCAGGTGCGCTTCCTTCAAAATGTCAGAGAGTCTCACGGCTCAGACAAGTCGTCAACATATCAACACTCATGATACTTCCATTGCAATACTACTCATCCTATAACGTTCATGATCGTATACCTTCTCACCCAGCCCCCCCCCCCTCCCTCCCCATGCTCCACGAATCCACCGCCATTTGTAGCGCATACAACAGAATACCGTTTCTCTGTGGTTACTGAAGACGAAAACAAAATGAGTTCAAAATGTATTCATTCCACATGGGAAAAATCTGCATTCCATGAAAAGGTTTGATATCGGCATAACAAAATCATGCCTTTCTCTCCAAAAAAAAACGAAGCAAAAACCACATATTCTACCAAAATCATGGGTTGACATCATCAATATTCTATTTTTGTTCATTTACCTCTGAAAACAACTTTTCTCAATGATGTCATTTCAAAATTTCACACGATAACAAAATGTCACATAAAAGCAAGTGTGTAGCAGGTTATCAGTTATGATCAGTCATGGTTGTCAGCCATTGGGAACATTACACAGCTTGATGGCTATAATGGATGTGTAATTCTGCTACACCTCTTGTGTACACCCTTATATTTAGCCAGGCATAAGGCCGAGTACGTGTTGCTTTGTAGTTATCCTTCTAAAGATTACAAACGGAACGGTATAGGGAACGAGAGAAAAATACAAATGAAATTGATGTAGAATATATTACGCATTGACACGCAAGAAGCACACCGTCGAGTAGGACAATCTATCATGTTTAGTTACACATGTTAAAAAGGGAATATAATTGCCACAAGGCCCTAAATATTACTCATCGTAATGTGATTACAGTCTCTTTCGGAGAAAGATCGTTATCATTCAACGATTCGCCGTATCACCTGCGCTCCAAATGACATTTTCATGCCCGTTTGGACATCAATAGTGATATTGGCTTTCATTACAGGGCTTCGAACTAAAAATCCATATTTTACTCTCTTACTCACAAAAAATATGTATCATCGTAGAATCCATGAAAACAACACGAAAGAGGTCGTTGAATTTATTTCATCTGGAAAATAATTATCCATGCGAGGGTACACTTGTATGCATCTGCTTTATGACATCATCGATCGAGTTTATCATAGAACGTAGAACGAGAAAGACAACAAAAAAAGTAAATTTTAAAAAATAGAAAAGAAAAGAAGAAGGAAAAAAAAAATCATTAACCATATTTAGCAGTTAGGCAGTATATAATAATTCCGTTACCGAACGAAAAAAGACTTTTATCATACGTATATCATGGTTGGTATAAAATGTTCCTCTTTTCTAAAAACACATTTTCTTTACATTTGATAAAAAATTTATAGAGGTGTAAGTCTGCAGTTTGAGGATCATCTCTTCAGCCCCTTCTTCGTTTTAAAAACCACTAAGAAGACAGCTGAGTCTGCAGAAAAGGAGCATCACCATGACAACCGAATGAAAGCAACCACACTCGACATCCTGCCAGGGAAATATTGACTCCGTATATTTTGGCGCGTAAAGTAGTGTGGTCGTATTTATCTGGCAGAAATCTACCAACGTCTAAAGACGGGTATATAGGGCAACATCCTCCAGGCACATCTACGTATGATTTTGAAATGATTTTGTTGTTGTATCCTTGTCAATTCGACAGCTTTTATCTACTTCATTGTAATGGCGAAGTGCTATATAGGATGCCGCTCGCCCTCATACCCAAGAAACGTCCACATCCAAATTACAAATTTAAACTCAAAATGAGAGAAAAGCAAAATTGAGACAAATGCAGTAAATAAATGAGTTAAAGATGAAGTTGAGTTCTGGTCATGAGATTGCATTGTGAAAGAAACGGCGTGGAATCGACCAGAAAAGGTCGATCATCTAGCATATAAGAATTTGTGTGTACTGCAAGGTTCTGGAATCATCAAAACGATAAGAAATTTGGCCAAGTCTTGGTAAAGTTACAAACACTGTACACAGATAGATGTATATGGGACTAAACGAACACGTGGCGTAAAAATCCTACCCTGGAGTTTTACGATGTTACATGACATATTTAGAATATGAAGGCATTTGAAGAGCCATGCTTTTTTTAAAAGAGTTTTTTTTCTTCAAAGTAGCCTTTTATGCTAAAATCCTACATCCAAACGAGATTTAAAAAAAATAATAATCACAAAACTAATATTACCAGAATGGCTGCAATAAAATCCCATACCCAAACGAGATATAAATAAAATAAAATAATGAACTTTGATTTTTATCACAAACTAAAATACTAGAATGGCTTCAATGCATAGCTTAGTGAATATATAATCATAATTTTTAAACATGTAAAACACTATACGAATCTGTCAGTGTCTGTTGTGTTGATAAATAAGCTTGAAAAAGTAAATAATCACAACTTTAACAGCATGACCTCCAAGTTCGTTGCCTTGGTGCAAATACCTTTGATCTACCGACAGACGGAATCAGCAGACATACATACAAATAAACTGCTTTGTTATTTACAGATGAATAATGAGCGCCCCCTCCTACTCGTGACTCAAAGTGCGCTACACTTTAGTTGTGAAGTTCTCCCTCCTGCGAAACAAACAGGCAACGATCTCAAGTGCGCACGTGAGCGTGTATTTCTTTAAAAGCGCCTGGGGACACGAGTCTACGTGGCCCTGTGGCTAAGAGGTCACGTATGTACATTTCTTTGGGTTTGGTATGCATGGAATGCTGGGACGCAGAGAGAGAGAGAGAGAGAGAGAGAGAGAGTACGGTACATGCACATTAGTCTAGTATGAGGGAGGGGGCTCCCCCTCGTAAACAGCCACATAGAAAGGCGACCATTCATAATGAAGCCAATGAGAGACGAATGATATTGTACAGGAACAGATGTGGGTTATTAGTACACATCAACAGCATTATGCCCATCAATTCTGATGCAAAGTGTATTGATATATGTTATTACAAATAATATTAAAACATTGTTAATGATATCAATGGAATATACTTATCACAATAAAACAATAAGCCTATGTGAAGAATGCATGTGTTTTTGATCAATAATAATTAGTGTACTCCTAAAAACGTTTCTTCTACCTTTTATTTTAGCTGATAACTCATAATATTCAGACATTGACTTCCCCTCGACCGTATTGGGTTATCTTTATCCAGGGTAGTACTTTATTATGGAGCCGGATATTAGTCTTCAAAGAAACCGTGTATCCATAGGGAATCATACAGCGTTGTTCCCTCAATCGGAGGACTTTGTTTACATTGGCCCGTGGGGAGATGTGCGCGCGCGTGTGTGTGGGTTGATGGTGCAGGTATTGGTTACTTATTATTCGGCAATAAACTACTGGAGCGCAGGGTTATGGATATGATAAATGCGAAAATTGAAAAGGGTGACTGGAATGTTAGATAATCTATGTTTCCGATCACCGTCGTCTTAAGTAGATGGATTTTCGTCTTAGGCTGATGTAGACACATTACACAATTATAAAAACGGGGCATGATATATAGCTGGGCAGATTCACAGGAATCGTTAAAATTATAGATTATTTTGATTCTTCTGAAAGTTTTGTCTAAAGAAGATGTATTTTCGTCTTAGGTAGATGTAGACACACTGCAACACTATAACAACAGGGACAGACACAGAAGGTGCACAGGGCTAGGTGTCCCTTGCCCTCATCCAGTAAAAATCAATCTAGCATATAATCTAAGCACAACAAAATGTTTTATCCTGCTCCCCCCCCTCCCACCTCCACACAGCCCACAGAAAGAAAACGTAATTTGTTTAACATTTTACTTGCTTAACTGAATGTTCCTTCGAGCTTGACATAATTATTGTGACCCCCCCCCCCTCTCTCACGATAGTTCTTGGTACACCACAGAACAAAGTCTTGCATCCCTTATTACAGCTCGTTTTAAAGGGCAGTTTGTTAGATGTTTGAGTTGGGACTGCAAGGTATTCACCCACAGTCTATACATTATTTACAATTATTACCAACAAGAGAATAACTTTCAAGGTTGCTTTCGGATCTAAAACCCAATAAGTAACAAATCTGAAACGCACTGGGACGAAGATGTCTTTAAGAGTGACTTAGATCTTCAAGGGATGCTTTTGCCATTCATCCATCAAGCCCCCGTTATAACGAGTGCAATCGAAAGCTAAAGCAACCAATGTAATTATATTGAGAAACTGGTTCCGGTATACCTATTATTGTCCATTGCATTAAAAATTAAAGGGTTTATTCTCCCCAAAGACACATTTCGCATTTGGATGGTATCAGAAATGGTTATCCACGCCTGGGGCTGCCGGGCATTATGCATCCACAGAAAAGAGGGTGGAATACAGAGAGTGCCAGAGGAGGATGTACATGTAAGGAGGATAGGTGGTGGGGTATGACGGGGAGGAGGAGGAGGAGGAGAAGGAAGAGAAGCAGGAGGAGGAAGAGGAGGTAGTGAATGTCGAGCAGTAGAGGGGGAAGAAGAGAAGGAGGAGGAAAAGGGTGATTATAAGGAGAAAGAAGAGATTGAGTGTGAGGAGGAGAAGGATGAGCAGAAGGAGGGGTGTTATTGGGCGATTACGAGCAGAAATTTACATCCGTGTTGTAAACGCTCACCCAGAAAGGGGCTCATCATGGCGTCATAAGTGGCGCAGAAGGGGGGGGGGGGGGCTACCCCTATCCCCTCCTTAAAAAGAAGGTCCACGATTTGGCGAAGGAAGAAGCCATTATGGAAAGACACAGGTGAGAGGGCATCGATCATTGCTCTGACTTGACCTTTCTAAGAGCGCAGACGACACAGCCAATGTGCTTTTATGCGTTTCACGGTCTACTTCCCCTCGCCCATACATCACACCCAAAACAGTGAGCAAATTATACAGAAACCAACCTAATTAGAGCAAGGAAAC